TAGTCTTTAGAGATCGTATATGCAAAGAGAGCATATATCATTTCATAGGATGTGTAAGTTATGAAGCAATATGCTCATATAATACTGAGGGAACGGATTATGATACTACAAAAGCAGTCCAAATTTGTCCCCTAACTGCAAAACCTGAACACCGAATGAATTACTGTGAACTGTTATTAGTTATGTCACCTTATTTAACTTCCCGAGCCACAATCTCATCTTTTATAAAATGAAATAAGTGACAATAAAGTAACTACTTTCATTAGGTGGTTGGGAGGACTAGGTGAAGTAATGTGTGTAAAACTTGTAGTGCCTGACCTGTAATAAGTGTTCGATAAATAGCAATTACTTTTATCATCATATAGTCTTCCAGAATTCATTAAATGCTTGATAACCAGGAGACTAAGTTCATCATTTAAACTAATGAGCTTTAAAACTATAATCTATAATGCTGTTCACTACCTTAAAAAACAAACATTTATTATGCTTATACATGCCAGACCCTGAGCTTGTTCTTGGAAATAGAGAACGGTTTAGAACTACATTTTAGGAACTGCCTTTAGAAATTGCAGCACATTCTTTTTGGTATCCTTGGTGTTCAAAAACCTGTGTTCTTCCCAGGTAGATTTTACTTTTGGAAACAGACAAGAGTAATTCAGAGCCAAATCTTATTATGCAGTGAATGATCAAGCCAATAATACCACTTACTGGTTAAAAATGATTATAAAGTAATAAGCTTGATTTTCAAGAGTAGTACTTAAATGTCACTTATCTCCATTTCAGAATCCTTCTTTATCTTCATCTAGCTTCTCCTCTCCCTCACTTGCTACAAAGAAGGCAGCACTGCCACTTTTCAAGGCAAACTTCTCCAGCTGCGTCCCTTGATTCCACCCTTCCCAAATGCTCTGGCACAAGAAAGCATAATAATGATTAGTCATGTTCATCCACTTAAAGGTCTCAAAGCAACCACTCCTTTAAAGTTTTCTCTATAGTTCTTAAAAAGCCTCAGACGCAAGGAAGAATGTCAACTAGAAAACTTGCTGGGTGCACAAATGTCCTACACAATCTCAAAAAAGTGACAGGAAAAACCTAAACAGCATTTCTAGACAGTATATACTACCTTCCTAGATCTAATAACATAATAGCATTTCCTTGAAAGGTTTTATAACACAGCTAGAAATTACATGAAAAATGAACGTATAGAAGGAAAAGAAAGTTTTTTTTTTTTTTTTTATAAAATTGAACTTATCAGCTTAACCCAAGGCTCAACCTATTTCTATTTAATCTACTATGACCTCTTCCAATCCAGGCCTTCATTATACTATTCCTGAACTACTGCAATCTTTTCCTAACTCCTGTCCCTTGCTCAAGTCTCATTTTACTTACTCCAGCTTGAAAATGCCTGTCAACTCGAGCTTCCTAAATACTACTTTGCACATGTCACTCTCCTAAACAAAAACTTTCAAAAGTTTTAGAACCAAACCTAAAGTCCTTAGTTTGACCACCAAGGTAATCTGATGACTGACAATCTGACTCCCACCCACCAATTTCCTTCCCATTACCTCCTACCACCTGGGAGTTTTATACACAAGCCATGAGAACACTGCCATGTATTTTCCCACCTCTGCTCTCATGATGCTTTCCAAACCCCTGCTCTCTCTCTCTGACTTTTACTTAGGGCCCTGTTCCCGTGAGCCTGCCCCATCCTTCCCACCTATCAGTGAGTGTTTCTGCTCCTTCACCCAGATAAGGTATCAGTGTTCAGGTTGTGTAGTTAGGTGACAAACTTGGACTGCTTTTTTTACAGTATCATACTCACTCCATTTCCTCAGTATTATATTATATGAGCATATCTATATCACTTATTATGCACATAGCATTTTCTTCCTTGTTATTTATTCATCTTTATGTGCACATAACAAGTAGTCTGCATTCCTCTTGTATTTCTACCACATGTTATCATGGGTGAGTTTTCTGCTGGAGTGCACAGAGTGATAATTATCTTACAATTTGTATGTAGCTTTCTACAAATTGGTACACCATAAGTTTAATAATACTGTCTTAAGCATTTTACAAAAGGATACTTGACTGCCCACAGAACCCATGAATAATATACAACAGCCAGTCACGATGAACAGTATTTTTAATTATATCCAGAAGTTCACCGTTCCACACATACTTCATATAAGGCTCACCACAGATCCCAAACACACCTGAAAAATAGAAGTTGGTTTCAGAAAAATAAGAAAAATGGTTGACAGTCACCTCATTTTTAAGTTCTAAAACTTCTGTTTTTAACTTCAAAATAAGATGCCTGCTTAATAGCATAGCCATTTTCAATGGATATCATTCCTATCAGCATCCAGAACATTGTGCTGATTCTTATAAAGTCAAAGATGACATTCATTTTCTGACTTGTGAGAGTTCTTAGGAGGAAAGAAGCAACAGAGAAATTAAAGACATGTGTACAAATATATTAATAAAGCCAAGAGACAGCAGAGAGTCAGAATTCATGGGTCTAAATCCTAGCTCTGACTCTTATCAGTAGGGTGACAGGTATGACCAAGAGTGTTACTTACTATCTCAGTACCTCTGTTTCCTCATCTATACCGGTATCACGTGGTTGTTTTAAGAATGAAATGAGTCAATAATGCATATAAAGTGCTTAGGACAAGACTGGTGCATTACCAATACTTCTATAAGTGGTAGTTATTATATCGGGCCTTTTCAATATGAAGTAATTAATTTCATCCAACATTATTTTAGCATATACAGATAAATTTATTAAACAGCAATGAGTTTTACATGAAATGAAAAATAAGAAATAAGTGTGTTTATAAGATAATGGCTTAAAAGACTATAACAGCTATGGATAGCAGCCAATCAATACCATTTTTCTTTTCAAACATGATCCGTTGAGAGTATTTACTTATATACTATGACAAATACACTTTGGTTTGATTCATAAAAACTAAACTTACTCTACCCTTTCAGTGCATTACACGAGAATAAGTAATACAAACATGGAATGGAATCCTGTCTTTGCCACTCACCAGCTCTGTGACCATAGGTAAGTACTTAACATCTCTGAACAACTTGCTAAACTGTAAAGTGATGATACTGCTACTCACCTCAGAAATATTGTTCACATTAAGTAAAATAGTATATGCAAAGTGCCTAACACACTGCCTGATATACAGTGGAGACTTTAAAAAAATGTATTATTTTCATTTCCTATCTATCCCTACACCACCTACCTCAACTCCTTGTTTCTTAACAATTTCACCCTGTGTGGTAGGAGAATAATCCCCACCTCCCAAAAAGATGTCTACATCCTAATCACCAGAACCTATGAATATGTTATATTATATGGCAAGGAGGAATTAAAGTTGCAATTGGAATTAAGGTTCCTAGCTAATCAAATGACTTTGAAAGGGGGAGATTTTTCTGGATTATCCAAGTGGGCCTAATGTAATCAAAGGGTCCTTATAAGTTAAAGAGGAAAACAAGAGTGTGAGTGTCAAAGTGATGTAACGTGGAAAAAATAACTAGGCTGACCACTGTTGGCTCTGAAGATGAAAGGGAGCCATGAGCCAGGGAATGAGGGCAGCCCCTAGAAGATGGAAAGGGCATGAAGACTGATTTTGCCCTAGGGCCTTCAGAAAAGAATGCAGCCCTGCCAACACACTAATTTTAGCCCTCCAAGGCCCATTTTGGACTTATGCCTTCTGTAAGATAATGAATTTGTGTTGTTTTAGCCACTGAGTTGGTGGTAATCTGTTACCACAATGACAGAAAACTAATATACTAATATATTAAAACTAATTCTATCAAGTAGAATTGCTCTAGGGACAGCAGAAAATTAAGTAGCTTCGGAGGCTTAATTCAAATCCTAGAACGGATATTCAAATTGAGATTTTGCATGGCATGTAGTGCAAATTTAGTAATACTTCTGAATTTTATATTACTAATTGTGATATTCAGAAGTGATGCAAGCAAATATTCAAACTCACTAGTTATCTTGCCTCCCACCTGTCTCTAGTGGCATATATAATGATTGGGTTGTCTGAACCAGGGCAAATCTATGTGATCAAGATGATCTAGGGGTAGCAAGGGTGCACTGGGTTTGGCCTTAGCTCAAGAGATAATCAAATAAACTAACAGTCAAGGGCAATGCCACAGATAACATTCAGTTTAAGTAAAAGTGTAAGCCTTCTTAGAGTGGACCAGAACCTTTGGCAAAACACTAATAGAACACGGCCTCTTCTTGTGTGTCCTGCAAAGATAAACCTTCTGGGACCATTTTAGATCGGATTCTACCTCTGCACCTACATCTTCATCACTATTGTTTAAGTTGCATGGAGCGACAGGCCCAAACACACTACTGACTATGTTTCCACGGTCAGTCCAATTCCACTAAAGTGCCTTAACTTTACTGGTGAAAGGATTCCTTCACAACATTCACATTAGCAATTCACACTAGTTTTAGCATTCTAGACCAACCCAAGAATCTGGAGATAAAGATACTGGGTGACTGGTTTAGTCCAACAGGCCCAAACACACTACTGACTATGTTTCCACGGTCAGTCCAATTCCACTCAAGTGCCTTAACTTTACTGGTGAAAGGATTCCTTCACAACATTCACATTAGCAATTCACACTAGCTTTAGCATTCTAGACCAACCCAAGAATCTGGAGATAAAGATACTGGGTGACTGGTTTAGTCCAGGATCTCCAGAAGCAGATCTCCTACACTAGTTATGCAGTGGTCCTGCAGCAATCCTACAGAGGTCCTGACAGAGGCAGGGCCTATGAGAGACTGATGAGTCAAGTTGGGACCAATCAAAGTAATAACAGCTTATGACCTGCTGCACTGATTCCTCTGGATATTGGCCATACGATCTTAATCTCTAGGTCTCTCTAGTTTCTTACTTAGTCTTTATTTCGTAAAACTGGCATTATACTTACCGAGAAGAGTTTTTATGAGAATTAGAGATATTATATGTAAATGTCTAGCACACAATAGGCAACCCAAGGTAACTTTTTCCAAAACTCAGCCCATATCGAACTGATCTCTATGAAGGAAAATAAGGTGGTGTGAATTCTCCGATATTGAAAACAACAAATCTCCATTTAAATTTCACCAAATTCTAGACCTGAATGTATTCCATGAAAAGTGCATAAATAATTGCTAGAAAATTTCAGCATACAATTTTCTGGCTTGCCTACAAATGAAATCACATGATGATTGATGATCTCTATAAAAACCAATTGGTCAAATTCATGTATCCAAAACAACCCCATATAAGGACAAAGAGCAATGAGGGATGGAGAAATATGAGGGAAATGTGAGTGAATTTAATGAGATAACATTTCACGGATGCCACATTAACATACATTAGATATGGCTAAAACCACCTACCGCTTCCACCCTGTGTAATTAATCCTTCATCTTCAAAGATGTCAAAACTCTCCTGGCGAGTCTGGGTTGTCTCTGACTTCAACATCTCCAGGGGCATTCGCAAGACAGTGAGATTATACTGAAGTGAGTGGGACAAATCATAGCTGTAACTGAGAACAGAACTGAAACTTAATAAGACTTATAAAAGCAAAGCACATATCACAATCTTGGCTCCCATTTGGAATTAAAATCTGTGAACTAAATTACCTAGCACCTGTTACTTCACTAGGAAGCAGTGCTGTTTAAATAAGCATTGTAAAACACAGCAAAATATAAACATAATTGGAAATAAATTCATTGCATGACTTAGGCATGTACATGACTAGAAATATACAGTACAATGTGAGTACCTACATTCACTGACTTCAACAATGTGCATTTTTTGCTTCATACTGAAATCAATCTAAATTCATGGTCTTGTGCTAAGGTGTTACCCTCTCATATGTATCTGAATAGGGTTCTATAGATACTACAATATCTACTGCAATAGTGCGTAAGTACTGTACCCTAGTTTACCTCTGAGCAGAAATAATTCTATCTTTTATTAATAGAGGTATCATAATTGACTTAATAATAAAACAGGAATAAGCAATGAACACAATCCACTACAGTGAAACATGCTTTAGAAAAGTAAAAGCCATTCAAAAGACTGTAACAGCCTCTGTGCAAATAAAATCTGGCCTTTAGACCAAAAGAAACCTGTTACAATTCTAATTTCACATAATAAATAATTTTTATAAGTAACTCTCATTATGTGTGTTTTTTTTTTTTTTTCCTTTTTGTCTTTTTTCATGACCGGCAACGGATTACAACCCTCAGTGTCACGCCCGTACCGGACCGGGACCGGCAACGGGATCGCAACCCTCAGTGTTGTGCCCGCACCTCGCTCAGCCAGTGAGCGGCCGGTCTGTATGTGGGATCTGAACCCTGGGCGGGAGCGCCGCTGCGCTCCCAAGCGGCGCACTGTAGCAGTGTGCCACCGGGCCGGCCCTCATTATGTGTTTTTTATCACAGAATTTCAGGAGGTATCTTTAATATTTCAGGTTTACACAAATTTGTTTTTAAAGTATTTTAGTCACTTTATAAGATGGTTACGATTCTGTCTAGAGAGCCACACACCTTATTTTAATTATTATGGCTTCTTTATTTTTATAATTTGATTGAAATTGATTTGTTTCATCTGTGAAATTCAATTTTACCACATTTGTTTGATGAAACCCTTCATTTTAATAGCATGTAATCTCAAAGAGATAAAAGCTGTATTAAGATGTTGGTTCCTGATTTTTAACAATCAATTCTTCCTATTTAAAACAATTGCTTTTTTCTAGTGAGTCTTAAGAATGTATTGTAGCCTTTTTTTTTTTTTTCTTTTTTTTGTGATCAGCAAGGGGACCGTAACTCTTGGCTTGGTGTCACCTGCACCACGCTCAGCCAGTGAGCGCACCAGCCATCCCTATATAGGATCTGAACCTGTGGCCTTGGTGCTCCCAGCGCCACACTCTCTCGAGTGAGCCACAGGGTTGGCCCTATTGTAGCCTTTTTAAAAGCCTACTAATGGGACACAAAAACTTAAGCCAACATATTTTTACTTATGGAATGACCTGATCAGAAATTAGTATGGGGATGCAGACAAAATGGAGAAATACGAAACAGGAAAACACCATTTTTAATATTACCAAGCTTCAGTAATAACTCACAGATACTATAAACATAAAATCAAGCACTAAGGACTAAAAAGTAGATGATGGAGATTAACACAATGGAAATAAACATTCAACAAGTATTTGTGGAAGTGCAGGAAAACTTCACTCTCTTACTGTTAAAATAATAAACTTCCTTCAGTATTCATCGATGAAGACATAATCCATTCTATATAGTAGATATGTTTTTCTTTATTTCATAAAGAAATGATTAAGTATATTAAAAATAAATTTCGTAGAAACTGTGAAGTACCCCATCAGTATATAACACAAATCACTATAAATGCTCTAGGTCCTTCGTCAGTCATTATGACTCAGTCCTAATTGGTGCATGCTAATTTGTGTTCCATTTTTTAGTTTGGATATTATGGCTGATCGAATTTTCCATCACAATAATCTTATCTACCAGGCCCACATATTGGTCACATCAGTAGTGGTATAACATTTTATCATGATGCTGTAACATAATTTACCTGCCTATTCTTCTATTATCAATATTTGGGCTGTCCCTGGATGGGTTGGGTTTGCTTGTTTGGCTATCAAAAACAGTGAAGCTATGCATGTCTCTTTACTAATAGGGATTCATATTTTCCCTCCTGATTTATTTTCATAGGATATATTTTCATATATGTTTAGTGCTACATGCCTCTCCAGGAAAACTATTAACTATTACAATGCCATCAGTAGTACATTGGTATTGCAACAGTTATTCCTACTATTTTTAACTTATTTTTACCTAATTTTGCCAGATTATTAACTTAAAGTTAGACTGTGAAACTGTTACAACTCTGCATTACAGGCTCAATGCAAATTCCATTTTTTGTAATTCAGAATTACAGAATGAAAAGATTTCTTCACAATATGTTAAATTCTACCTAAAACAAAGATAATTTTTAGAGTAAGAATAAATACCCCTTAAGACAAATTCCATTTTTTGTAATTCAGAATTACAGAATGAAAAGATTTCTTCAAAATATGTTAAATTCTACCTAAAACAAAGATAATTTTTAGAGTAAGAATAAATACCCCTTAAGCTATCCATTCGAATTTTCAAATATCAGATTTTTAAAAGGAAGAAATACCTGTATTTTCATGCTTTTAGATGAAACAATTTGGCTATTTTTAAAAAACAGAGGAAGTACTTCTGTGTGCTCTGATTCTGTCTGTTTTCACCCCGTGCCCGTGGAAAACAATATAAAAATTTAAGTGATTGATAGTAGCAAAACTAAGCTCAAACTTACCTAAAGTAAAAGTTGCTAGATAAGTCCACATTTTGAAATATTCGTAGATACCTAGAAAAAATGAAAACACTTTATATTCAAACAATACCATTATTTTTCATAGTTTAACATTTACTCATATATACATTTATATTTATAAATATACTCATTAAAATCGAGGAATTCAAACCATACCTGGAATAGGGATTTCATCTGGAGCAATTCCAAGTCTGTTGATCATCCCCTCAAAGACCTTTAAGTTTACAGTTTGTTCCTCATCACTGCTTATGCCAGAGAGAGGGAAAGTCATGCACCTATATGTGTGGGCACTTAGACTTTGGGCAAGATGGAAGTAAATACTGTTTCTGCTTTTACAATGTGCTTTATAAATGCTTTGAGGATGGAAACAGAAGAGTAACAAAAACAAGCGCTATGTTTGTGGGTTGCCATAATCTTAAATAGGAAAGTTTTTTAAACTAAAAAAAAAAAAAGGATAGTACAAAATATCCATGTATCTACCATTCAGAATTAATAAGCGTTCATATTTCTTTCATATTCATTTCAGCTTTCTTAAAATAAAATAGCCAAAACATAATTTTAAAAGCTAAAATCCTCATTAGATATATCTTCACTCTCATTATCTCTCTCCAGAGGCAACCATGTTATTGGTGTGAATCCTTCCAGTCTGTGTGTCCCTTTACTTTATCATATTACAGACATCGTTAAATACTCTATAGCATTACACTGTGTATTTAAAATATTAATGCAAATCATTTCAAACTTTGTATATTGTCCAACAACTCACTTTTTTCATTCGCTTTTTGAAATCTAGTTATGCTGAAAAGTCATGGATTTAATTTGTCCACTTTAATTGGTGTTTGGTACTTCATTTAATACACACCACACTTTATTTATCCATTCCTCTGCTGATAAACTATTAAGTTCTTTCTAGTTTTCCCCTATATAATACAATGTTGCCAAGAGCATCACATGCATGTTTTCCTGAACACATACATAAGCATTTCTCCAGGACACATGCATAAAAAGAACCACCAGTGTGTAGAAAATATGCATTTTCAATTTTGCTGGAATACAATATGTCAAATCATCCTCCTAAGAGGCTAAAATAACACTACTCCAACTCATAGTATATAACTAACTCATATATACTCATAGCATATAACTTATAGTATATAACTTATTTCCCAAATCTCTGCTAACATTTGATGACAGCAATATTTTAATTATTCCAATCTAATTAATGAGAATGAAATAATACCTTTTTAAAGAGCATTTCACAAATTACTATTAGATTTCAAAATCTCTTCTGTGAGCTGACTGTTCCTTTTAACCATTTTTCAGTTAGATTGCTTATCTTTTTGTCACTGATTTGCAGAAATTCCTAGTATATTCTAAATACTAATTCTTATTATATGTTACAAATGTCTACTTTCAGACTGCTGTTTGTCTCCTAAAATTTATTTATATTGTAAAGATATTTTTAATATTGATAGCATCAAATATATCATCCTTATAGTTTGTGCTTTTTGTGTTTTGTTTATGAAGTCCTTTCCATGACAGGATCATAAAAATATGAACCTTTATTTTCTAAAAATTACCTTTGTACTTCTGGAATTGCTTCTTGAGTACTGTCAGAGACTAGTATCTAAGTTTATTTTTATCCAAATGGAAAACCAGCACTATTTAGCCCATCTTTTCCCCCAATGATTTGTAACGCTCACACTATCACAGTTTCCAACATAAAATAGACCTATTTCTGGACTTGCTCATTTCTGTTCATTGATCAATGTCAATTCCTCCTCCAATACTAGCAGTCCCCCAATGATTTGTAACGCTCACACTATCACAGTTTCCAACATAAAATAGACCTTTTTCTGGACTTGCTCATTTCTGTTCATTGATCAATGTCAATTCCTCCTCCAATACTAGCAGTCTTACTTACCGTACCTTATCAACTGATTATGACTTGCTGTCTGGTTGAACTTATCCCTTCTTGTTTTTCTTTTTTAGAATTGTCTGGACTATGCTTAGACCTTTGCTTTTCCATATGAATTTTAAAATCAGTTTGTTAAAGTCCATTTTTTTTTTTTGTCTTTCATCTTTTTTCCGTGTCCGGCAACGGATCGCAACCCTCAGTGTTGCCCCCATACAGGACCGGGGACCGGCAACGGGACAGCAACCCTCAGTGTTGCTCCCGCGCCTCGCTCAGCCAGTGAGCGGGAACCGGTCTGTATGTGGGATCCGAACCCTCGGGTGGGAGCGCCGCCGCGCTTCCCAAGCAGCGCACTTATCCAGTGCTCCACCGGGCCGGCCCTAAAATCCATTTTTTAAAAGTCTTCTTGGAATTTGAATTAGTGTTGTATTAAATTTATGAATTAATTTTTGAGAAAACGAACTTCTTTATGATGATATCAGATCTTCTCATCCGTGAATGAGGAACAACTCTCCAATTATTTAAGGATTTAAAAAATCTTTTAATAATGTTTTCAATTTTCTCCATAACATTTTGTGTAGCTTTTGTTACATTTATTCCAAGGTACCTTACAGTCTTTGGTGCTATTGTGAATGAGATCATTATTAAATTTCTTTTTTTAAAAAATTTATTTTATTTATTGAATCAAAATTGATTATGCGTATTTTGGGGGTTCAACATTGACATATGTTGATCAAATCAATATTACTAGCATATATATTGTTACAAATCGTAATTATTCTTTATGCCCCTTGTCCAATCTCTCCCCATGCCCCTCTCCCTCCCCCCTCTAATTATCCTAGATTTCTTCTCTCCTTCTGAAAGAATAACGGTTACTCTGTTGATGAGGTGTGATCAGTTCCCCCAATATTATCATAGAGAAGATGCTTCTTCTGTCACTCTGAAATGGGCTTTGTGGAGGGAGACATCCTCTTCGTTTCTTTATCTCTGCTGATGACTCTCCTTGTGTCAAGCACTCCAGTGGTTGGAGGACCATCTGCGTGGTGATTGTGGTGTCTAGCTGCTTTTGCAGCAGCTGTGGTTATTGTGGTGGCTGTGGTGGGCCACCCACATGGAGGTGATGTTTTTGGAATGCTCCTTGGCGCTGGCAGTGTGCCTGATTGTGCGGTGTGTCTGGTCCCCGGCTCCATACTTCAGGTCTCTAGGTGGGCCCTGGGGTGCTGGCGTGGTGTGCCTGGTTGTGGGAGGGGGGTTTCCTCCTGGGCTCCATACCTTAGGTCACTGGGCGGGCACTGAGGCATTGGCATGGTGTGCCTAGTTGTTGGAGGGGGGGTCCAGTCCCCTTCTCCATGTCTTGGATCCCCAGGTGGGGCCCTGAGGCACTGGCATGGTGTGCCTGGTTCTAGGAAGGGGGTCCGGTCCTCACTCCATGCCCTGAGCCCCTGGGTTGTGCCCCAAGGTACGGGCGGTGTGCCTGGATGTGGGAGTGGGGTATGGTCACCTTCCCAATGCCTTGGGTCCCCGGGCAGGCCCCGAGGCCCTGGTGTAGTGTGCCTGGATGTGGGAGTGGGGTCCAGTCCCCAACTCCAAGCCCCCGGTTCCCAGGCAAGCCCGAAGGTGCTGGTGATGTGCCTGGGTGAGAACTAATTTTTTGCCCTTTGCTTACTCCTAACAGGGGGGAACTTCCTGTGGGAACCAGTACTTGAGCTCTGTGGTTGAGCTAAATTGCTGCTTTGCTGCTGTTTCTATAGGGAAGGCTTTTTGTGCAGCTCAGGGTTTAAAGGTTGACCTTACAGGTACTTCCGGCTCTCCACAGACCCAGTGGATCTGGGTTGTGTAGAAACTCTGATCTGGGCCTGAGTTTTTTCATCAAACGGCACCCCATGCAATTCTGCATTCCTGACCAGTCTCCTCTGAGTGGTCCTGTGCTGATTGGGGGGCGGATCGGCTGTCCTTGCTGTGCCCCAATGTTCTCCCGGTGGGCCTGTCTCCCCCACTGCCCATGCTCCAAACACTTCCCATGGGACGGGCCCTGTGCCGGTCCCTTGCAATGACTCACTGGCCTCTGAATGGCTCCTTTTCATTTGTTCTGGCTCCTTGCCCCTGTGTGGGTCCACTGGAACCCTGTTAGTGGTCCTGCTGCCCTGGGGGCCATCAAGACCCCCTCTTCTCCCCTGCTGCCTCCAACTAACTCCATCTGAAGGGCACAGCTGCGGCTTCTGCTGACTCCTGCTCCACACAGTCTGCAGTTTCAGCATTAAAGCAGCTGCCACCCCAAATACTCAGAGCAGTTTTTTCTTTCTCTCATCGTGATTTCTCCTACCTTCATGAACTCCATAGGTCTCTCCTCCTCTTCCTCTGAACTCCAGTGGCCCCAGCTTGGCTGATGTTACATTTTTATAGCTGTAAATTGGTTGATTTCTGGGAGAGTGACGCTGGGAACCGTCTATTCCGCCATCTTTACTGGAACTCCATTATTAAATTTCTAATTGGTCATTGCCAGTATGTAGAAACATTACTGGTTCTCATGTGCTGACCTTTTCTTCAGTCATTTTGCTGAGCTTTCTCTTTAGTTGAGAGTTTTTAGATATTCTTGCATTTTCTGAGTAGAAAATCATGCTGTCTGCATGGTGACAATCTATGTCTCTTTTCAAGCTTTATGCCTTATTTTTCTAGTTTTATTGCATTGGCTTCGGCCTTCAATAGAATGTTGAATATTAGTAATGATGGCACATACCTCTATATTGTTCCTTACCTCAATTAAAGATAACACTATTTTAAAGTTTCACTTCTAAGAATAATTTTGGATATAGGTTTTTAATAGGTATCATTTATCAGATTTAAAAAGTGAGTTTATATTCCTAGTTTGCTAAGACTTTTGATGATGAATGGCTACTGAATTTTACCAAATATATTTCTGCAAATATTAAGATGATCATAACTTTTCCCAACAATATTTCAACGTGGTGAATTGCTCAAGTAAATTTTTTCATATTGATACAATCATGCATTACAAGGATAACCTCTTGTCATTACGTATAAAATGTTTAACAATAGTGTACTTCATTTACTAATATTTTACCAAATATTTTTTACTTAAATACATTATTGGGTTATA